AGAGCTGATGTTAATAAGATCTTCCAATCATAATTTTCGTGTGTTCACTTAAGCTCAAATAAATGTATACTCAAAAAGTCAGATTAAAGCATATATGAAAGTAGTCAACAAGTAGTTTTTTGTTGTCGAATCGTGAAGTTATAATCTCTTTGTTCCCATCAGATTGTATCCTTTTATTTCCAAGTTCGGTTGTAGCTAAAAATTGGCAGCCTGGTCTTAACTGCTTATTGTTGTCGGTTTCTTTCACTGGAATTCCAAAAATAGTGTCGAAATACTTGTGTCCAGTTCAACATGCACACTTGTAAATTAAATTCATCTGAGACAATCGCTGAATGTGTTCGTTCGGATTTCTGTAGGACGTTTGGTAAATTTTACTGTGCATCGTTTGAGCTATAGCCATCGATTGTGATAACAAAAACAATGACAATTCAACGGTATGTATCATTATCTAACGGTTCTGCGAAACTGCTGAGTAGAAAAGCACAGGGATGATTTTCAGTCCATCTAATCAAGTGGGCAACCTACTAATAGGTTGCCGTTAAGATTCAGTAGATTGATATGCAGAAGAATGAAATCAACTAAAAGCCTCGCACAGATATGAATCGGTCGGTTTAAGTTGCTACACTTGAAAGCATGCAAATAACAAGTGAATACAAAAGCAGTCATATTAAAGTGGAATAACGTGTATGGAAGGATGATGAGCTTAAAAAATGAAGGTTACGGAAGATATTCAAAATTTTGAAGACGTCAAAAACTGAATACATCTGCGCCGTTGTCATCGACTTTCAGCCTCCGAACATTCATTCTTATTATCTCGAGGACCCCGTACAGGCAGTCTGCACCTCCCTACATGCAACTCATCAACAGACAAAGGGCTGGTACCTTATCTTGGTTTGGCTATCCTCAGTTTTCATCCAATTCAATCCTGATTTGGATAACATCGCACATCGAGGTAGTCGATGACTCGAAATTCGCAACACATATCCAAGCCAAATCAGTCGCTGAAGGTTCACAATCTCATCGACTGACTGGTCTAGCCTTCCTCGTACCTTGGACTAGCATCACCTTACGTGAGCAATGCTTCGAAGACATCTGTGGTCGAAAACCTGTATTTTTTTTCATATCTTCTACTTTCAGAGGTTATGGGACAGAATGGACTGCAGCGCAATATATGTCTTTTAAAAGCTACTCTGATCTTACCAGCACAAGAGACGACGCAGTTTACGAAATGTCTAACAGGCGTTTTGTATCCGGGCTAAGATTTCGCCAGCCACCAAGCCATTTGCGCTGCTTCAACTTTCCGAATCAGTTGATTGTTCAACGCATTTTACCACTTCACCCCATCCTTATGCTGACAGTAGCTGCTGACCAGTCCTGAAGTATCATACCACATTTAACAGGCGTAAAACTCATGTCAAACATACTCAGATTTCTACTGATGACGTCCAGAAGAGTCTGCATTGTGTCAGCATCGCCTACCAGGAGTATGCCATCTTATTACTCCAAATCAACCAGCTACACACACAGGAGTAGGTCAAACTATGTGAAATTGAAGCTACCTGAGGTTTTGTGCATCAGCACGTCTATGACAAAGAAGAACAAGAACGATAACAGCGGACATTCCTGACAGAAACCACTGACTGTCATCACTTTGAACGACAACTTATAAGTTTTTACACGTCTTCATGAGTTCTAGTCGAGTGATTTAAGTAGCGTAATATAAACTTATTCGGTTCTCGCTTTACAGTCAGTCATTTCTGCAACACATCTCGGTTGGCAGAGTTAAATGCCACATTGAGGTCTAGATGTATGGTGAGTGTCGGCCGACGGTAAGAATGCGTGTTCCAAAACCTGTTGAGTGGTGAAGATCTGGTCAGTGCGACATCTTCCAGGTTAGGAATCTATCTAGTTGTCTCGAGTTCTGCACTTAGGTGGCGGATGACTATGGACCTTAGGATCTGATGCCCTCTTATGATTGTCACAAAAAGACCTCTGCTTTCTTGAAAACTGGAATGACCAGTGATCTAGGCAAGTCCAACGTGACTGCCTCTGATTCCCATACACTGCCTAGTAGATTTGTTACCGTACTTACTAATTTTCTATCTTCGTCCTTAAAGGTATCTGATGGTAAACATTCAGGTCTTGCTGCTTTGAATTATTTAAATTTTGAAATAGCCTCAATTTCGAGGAAAGTTGAACGACCAGCATCTACGTCCCATTTGGATTCGAGCTGGATTCTGGGCAACTGGAGCGTTGCTGAAAACCAGCTGAACTGTGCTTTAAAGCGTTATGCCCAGTATTCTGCCGGCTTATTCTGATGAGTTATCAGCGACCTATCCTTTTTGATGGTGTTCTCACTAAGCAACTTCTTCGTACTTATATCCTTAATAAGCCGAAATAATTTTCGAGTATTACTTAATGCTGATTTCTCCTCCATGTCTTTCTCTTTTGCCACTCATCAGTACTCATGATCGTTGCGAAGACTTAGTCGACCAAAAATAATGTTCTGACAAAAACTGGGTTGGAAAAAATTGGCGGTGTTATAAGATTAGTACTTAGTGGAAAGGATTCTGACAGTGGGTTGGGTTTATGATTGAGGGAAGTGACCTAAATTTTGCTGTAATTTGTACAAATATTTGCCATTCCCTGGCCGTTAACATTTTGGGAATTCGCTACTTCGAGTACCTAAGGGAGAAAGGCGTATTTTTGAAACCAATCACGAAATACCAATTTGAAATATTTAGAGTAGCAGAGTTTTGTCCTCTCGTTAAAGATATTTTTCTCCATATGTTGAGTCTTCAAACACAGCTAAGTGAGTAATTTCAGGGCCTTCGTGTTATAACCTTTTCTTTGCAGCATAAGAAAGCAGCAACAACAAGGAATACTAGGCTCTTTTTGACATTAAGACTAATTTAGATTCGTTAGATAGGGCTGTAGTTGTCTGTTGGTGAGAAGTATCCCTAAACAGTTTTTTAACTTTGTAAAGGCTTATTCAAAAGCACCGAATAAAGTAAGGGTGCACAACCATTTTCTTCTCTAAACCACTAGTGGGGTTAGTTACAGCTGTCAGGTTTCACCGTTCCTCCTTAACTTTGTCATCAATGACATTCTGGAAACAGCTGTAAATTAGGGGCGTAGTGGTGTACATCTTCCGGGTGAATTTTCGACCTAGAAAAGGCAAACTGTAGCGTTCTACTGAGCAACAACATACAGGTCACTCAAATTGTACTCAGTCCGTTAGCGACCAAGGCACGTAAGCATAGTACATGCTTTGCACCGTTGAAGCCCAGTATTCTCTTGCAAGAATAACTAAAGCACTTAGCTGGATGCGGATGAAAATCTTATTTATCTAGGTAGTGTTGATGGTGTGACTGTATTTTTTGAACTAGAGCTGCGTACGCTAATTTAGGCCACTTTCGGTGCCGTTGTTACGTTAGACTTGTAAAATTTTGGGTCTATAACGTATTTTTTGACCGGTTGGGTTGACAAGTGAGGATATTCAATCACCATAGTCTGTAAAATTGCTAATATCTGGCGAGAACACCATATAAGTCACAGGATTGTGTGTTTAGGTTTGATGAAGATCACTACTCACTGAGTGAAGTTGTCTTGGAAATGTAATACGGATGTTTTCCCAGAGGCTCCCATACTATCTAGTAGCTGCCAGCCTTTGGACTAGTTGAAAGAAACGGAGAAGTGGTCCTTGTATATTGCAACTCCGTGTGTGAGCTTTTACGTTGATTTTGTCAGTTAGTTAGTGACGCTGTGGGATGAAAGATAGTTGCATTTGTCGGTGCTTTACGACTCCCTGGACGGAATCTGAGGGATCATCCATCCCAGTAGCTCAAAACAATAGCAGATATAGCTCAGGATGTTAATCGGTGGCAACCATGCAATAGCTTTCTCACTTCATCTGTTGTCCAGAAGTAAGAGGAAAGTAGTGAAATTCCTTTGAATGTGTTATTAAAACCTCATTAAAACCCATTTCTTTTGTTTCTGTTCTGCGTTTCGTTCCTTTGCTTTATATCAGTTCTGCTTCTCAGTGTTGTTATTTTACATAGTTCATTTCTTGATGCCTACGTTTTGCCAAATTTGTTTTAAATAAATAAATAATCCTAGGTAATGATTTGAACTAATTCAGGGACTCGACGGTCAGAAAGTATCCTTGATAATGTCGGTTTGGTTGTCGACTATATCAGAGGACAAATATACCGCTCTGCAGTTCACTCTGGCGTGTTATAAGACTGTAAGACGTGACCGTTAAAAGTAAAAGACGTGAAGCGATTACAAGGTTTTTTTTTATCAATGATGTCTTCGTAGCATTACTCGCTTGCGGTGGTATCACCGTGTGAGCAAAGTTGAAGTCAAGTGAGGGATACTAGGCAGGGTAAGCAAGTCAGTTGGTGAGGTTGTGAATCTTCATCGACTGAAATGACTTGGATATGTGTTACACGTGCCGAGTCACCGCCTATCTCGACGTTCCATGCTAGGGGGAGCTGGATTGGGTTGGAAGAAGATTAAGTGTGGCCAGACCAGTCGATGAAGTCTCTTACTGTTGATCTGAGTAGTGTTGTAAGATGTAGACTGCCTGGTTGGGGTCCACGAGACGAAAGGAATCAGTGGTTGGGGACTCAGTGACAACGCTGAAAACCTGTCGCAGTGGTGTAGATGTATCCATTCTTTGATATATTCTAAAGCTCAAATATTCGCACTAACCTTTATCTCCATATTGTTTATTCTGTCACACAACTTTTTCCACTTTTATATCACTCTTATTCTATCCACATGTGTTCTTTGTATACTACTGTGAAGTGTGGCAACTTGAGCCGATGCATCTGTCCGCTAGGTTCGGCGCTGGTTTCGTCAGTCAGTCAGCTATTAAAATAGTCAACTAGAATGACTTAAAATATTAGACAAACTAATGCACTAGTTGAAATGTAATGGCTGGACTTATTTGCATTCGAAAGGTCTTGATTGTTGGTCATTTCAGTTTACTATAAATGGAAAAATGTCATGTGGTAATCGTAACGAAGTTAGCCTAACTTGAATTTTCGATCTGGACTCCTTAGCTATGCAGTTTGCTTTCAGTAATAAGTATCATATCTGCAAAGGTGTTTTTGATCTCATTATGTTTCTCTTACAGCCCATTAATATTACTGATGATATTTTTCATTTATTTCGCTCTCTGAGTCTGTTAAATATGACAACCTAAACCTACTTACGTTTTGCCTTCCAACATGCAATTTATCAGGACATTATATATTATTATTTTATTTCTCTGTTGCTGTCTATACCAATTCATTTTGAATTGTTAGTGTGGCGTAACATTTACAGTTCCTCTGTATATCTTCCACGAATCTGACCAGCTATGAAAGGTTGTATTCTAAACCACTGGTAGTGTTTATTTTGAGTATGTGAAAACTGTTTAGAGGACATAAGTTTACGCACTTTTTTAATCTTTAAATAGATTATCAAACTTTCTCTTTCTCTTTGATTTGATTTACTCAAAAATATCTATTTTAGATACTTCAGTCAATGGGTGCAATTAATGAATCCTCCGTTTCTTCTTCTTCCCCTAATCACTGGATTTCTGAAATAAGAAAGACTTTTTCCGATATCCCTTTATCAAAAACAGATGATAATACACTCATCAATATCTTGTTGGAACGGTTTGTTCATATTTTACTTAAGCCTTGTATTCTTCAGATCTGTCTCTGTACTATATGTGGTTGATTGTGCTATGTCACATTTTATTGCTGTGAACTTCATTGGTGGGTTAACTGATGAACCCTACAAGTTTGACGAATGCCACCAGTTAGCATTGGAAGAACTTAGTTGTGAAGGCGAATATCCCTTTAGACTTACCAAGTCACTCAGCTTACTTTGGTTATGCAAACGCTTATGTAGAAAAATGTCTTCAGTTTCTCAAACGCTAGTAAGTTATGCATTTTTACCCCTCATTGTTTCTTTTTAAGTCGTTCCTATATCATCTAAACTACTTAAAATGCGTTTACTTGCATCAATATCTGATTGGTGATGAAAGATCACCAAAGTTAAAGAGTGAATTTCAGGAGATTGTCAGTGCATGTAAGTAAATGGAGTCTCTAGCTCAGTTATTGTTTAGGTGAAGAAGATGTCAACAGTGCTTCTGCTGAGGATTTGATTCACTACTTAATGATATCTTCATATTTAAGCGCTTTTTATTACGAATACGAAAAGTCAAAAATTTTTGCATCAAGATGCGCTGAATATTTGAATATAGACGTAAAGTTCAGTGGCAGGTGTTTGTTTTACACTTAACATGAATTCCATAGGTGCTTTGGGTAAATGCACCAAATTCCAAGAGAAGGAAGTTGCAAATCTTACCGTCAAAGTTAACAGAATATTAGAAAATAAAGTTAACGAGAACCAAAGTAACTGCGCCCTTCCACAGGTAAGTATGTCTTCATCCTACATGTTTTTGAAGATTGTATCACTTAATGATGATGTACTTCTTAACAGTGTTGCATTCGTGGAGATCGAGGAGCAAAACTACCTCTCTCATCTAGAACAGTCTTTTATTCTATTACTGTGGTGAGTTCATTTATAGACAATGCATGTAAAAATGCTTTTTGTTAGTGAACTTCATCGTCTCAACTGTCCACGAGATGATCTAACTGCACAACAATGCTTAGCTTATATTAATACTGTTATTCGACGAGTGTATCCAGATTCGAAAAGTGAGACAAAGAGCGATTCATCTTGGCCGATTGCAACAGAAATGCTGTTCAGAAGAAGCTTACTTGAACACAATTCTGTTCGGAGAACCGAACGGTCATTGTTTCAGTTAGAGGTAAAGAGTTTGTTATAGCTTGTTTAATCAAGTTGTCTTTATTAATCATTTCTAGGAGTTATGTAGTCAGTTTGCGCGTACTAGTCCACCGCTCTCAGAAAGATCTGTTAACAGCTTCTTTTTTTCTAGGATGCCTTCTATTTGGACTTTACAAGTAAGCTAATCCATTTTACTATCTATGCATTGTGTTATCATCGACTTGAATTCATTTTGTTCTGTATTAAGACATTACTGTCAATCTTCTCAGGATAACTCACCTTTTTTAAACATTTCTGGAGTATTATTGCTGTTAAAACAGGTGGATACAAATAATAAAATTAACTAATCTCATCTTTATACTGGGTGGTGATTGAAGATGAGATGAAAATCTGGACCATGGCCTGATTCAAACCAGTGACTACCGGGTTACCGACCCGGCGCTCTGCCAACTGAGCTACGAGGTCCGACTGCTGACCAGAATTTTATTTCACTTCAATCACCAAGGGTTTTGCCCGACTACCATGTGAATTCGTGACGCGTTACTACCGCTTGATCGTATTCACATTGGCTGCTTAGTCAGGACTTCTCATCCCAATCCAAATCTGACTGAATCAGAAAGGGGGAGCATCATATTGATCATCTTTTGACTATCTGAGATAGCCGTATTTTGGCAGACTAGTATTTATACTGGTTTCAAATCCGGCTGCGGTCCAGATTTTCATCTCACTTTCAGTCATCACCCAGTATAAATACTAGTCTGCCAAAATACGGCTATCTCAGTCAAATTATAATCTCATCTTAAAAATACTATTACTTACGAGCAGAGAGGACAAATCAATTAAAGATCATGCGTTTTTGGTTTTAAAACGCCGTCCTGTCTGTCGGTAGACGCATTGTGTGTGTGTGTGCCTGTGTGTATTCTACATTAACTTCATTCTGATCAGTTATTGATGTTAGTGGATCATGTAATAAACACCGATAATGTAAATTTAAAACTGACCATAAAACATTCACTAAAGTAACAATAAATGATTCTAGGCATATCTTCTTTAAAAGGGAAGTGTTGGACTTCCAAGTCAGCATGTCCTTCAAATACAACAGTAAATCTAAGTGGAATTTATAGTTGATATGAAATGGAATAGATGGAAGTTTTTCGAACTATATAATCCTTGAAGATGAGAAACAAACACTAGAAAGCTTAACGATAAAGTTGGAAGTGGTGTTTTGCACTTTAACGAACGTATAATGCTTGTTGAAATCGTGTGAGTAGGTGTCAATAGTTGATGACCATTTATTCTTTAAGAATACGTAACTTTTTCAAAAAAGCAATATTAACAGAGTCTCAATGTAGAAATTAGTGACTTTCGAAGGGAATGCACACTATAATCACTCGGGTAAATTAACAGTATTATCGAAAAATCTAAATTGAAGCTCACTCAGAAACCTTGCAGTAAGCAGTGAGCCATACTCTTATTATATGAGGGGTAATGATATTACCTGGCTTCCAAGACCTCGGTGGGTGGGGCGGTGATCGAACCCCTGACCCATCGGTTAAAAGTTAACCACCTAAACCAGACAGAGATGGACAAATTCAACGTTGGACCTCGCATACAAATGGATCGGTTCAACTTACCGGATTTCTTAGGAGTATATAAAGAACAAGTGGATGGAAAATGGCTTATATTAAAGTACAAAAAGGTTTACGGAAGAAGAGAGAGTTTAAAAATTAAGGTTAGTGAAAATGTTCACACTTTAGAAGAAACCAAAGAGTGAATACATCTGCAGCCATGCCACCAAGAGTCCTCAGCCACCAGTTCCTGTTGCCTTGGGGACCCCAGCCAGGTAATCTACACCTTCTCGATCATTTTGTAATCTGGTTACCAACCTATCGGAATTAGAATCACTGTGCTTTTTTATTGATGTTGGATAGTTGGATGTCATGCCTGACCTCGAAAAAGTTGATGTCTCCTCAGAGAGAGAGAGAGAGAGAAAAAATTTAAAAAACGATGATGGTCAAACACCTTCAAATCATATATTTAAGAGCCTAACGTAATTCCTTGCTTCTTTTTTCCTTCTTTCTTATCATCTTTCAAATTTAAAGGTTCCTGATGGACAAACCAGATTTTTGCTTATTTAAGCATTGCTGTTTCAAAATCAGCCTTTGGACTGGTTTGTTCTTTCTATGACTAAAGACAGTTTCCTAAAGATTGCAAATGCTCTTTGCTAATTAATGCCAGTAAACATGACACACATCGTATGACCCTTGTTTATTGACTCTGAACAACGAGTGTAAAGGATATTGTACCACAGTAACTTACTACTTGAATTCTTACTAACGGTATTCTGCACCGCTGACAAACTTAGTCCATATACAGATAGTAGTTCTGTTGTTGTATTAGTATGCTTGCGGTATGAACACTAGTAATAAGTTTGCTTGTTAGTCAGCTAATAGATTTCTGTAGATCCGGTTCTTCTTGTTTTCATGATCGAATTTCATTTTTCATTCAGATTGAGCAAGGTCGACTACTTATGAAGGTAGGCTGTTATAAGAGCGCTCTGGATAGCTTTCTGCTATGGGATAAATGGTCGGAAATAATTGAATGCTACACACATTTAAACAAAAGAGAAAAAGTATGTTTTGTTATTTCGATGTATCCTGACACCACTATTGTTATTTATTGTGTTGTGATTAGTAGGTGTGTTGAACTTAGCACCTTTTTAAACAGTGAATGTGCATGTTGTGCTTTTTGTGAAACTGATTGTTTGATAATGTAAACTTCCTTGACCGTTTCATTCTCTGCTTTGATGTACCGTGGATTGTGTTAAGAGAGAGTCCTGTTATTATCAGTCAAGTTGATCATTTTAATGATAAATACTTCTAAAATCTCATTTTTTAGTCGCAGCATTTTTACGCAGTTCATGGTTAATGCTATCGATACTGGATGATAAATAAAGGTAAAATGAAAGTCTGGGTCGCCTCAGGACTTGAATCGGCCTAGTGCTCTACCAACTGAGCTATGAGACCCGACTGCTGACCAGATCTTAATTCCACTTCAGTCACTAGAGGCTTGGCCCGACTGCTGTGTGAATTCGTGATTGACAACTGTTTGTTCTTCGTATTCAGACTGCCCAGCCATATGATAAACGGACAGTTACGCATCACGAATTTACATGACAGTCCGGCAAAAACCTTAGTGGTTGAAGTGGAATTAAGATCTGGTCAGCAGCTTGGTCTTGTAGCTCAGTTAGTAGAGCACCAGACCAGTAACCCAAATGTAGCTGTTTAAAATCCTATTACCATTCAGATTTTCATTTCACCTTAAATCATCATTTAGTATCGATAATACACGTCTACCAAATCACGGATATCTTAGATAGTTAGTCTAATGATTAATATTATTTTGAACTCCTGCTTGGTAACATCATGTTCATCATTCAACCTGCTGCATGATTAAGAATTATATAATAAACACCAATCATATAGTGCTCTACTGGTTGCTTAAAGAGTTCACGCTTGTTCTTGAGTTTAAATGTTCATATTTATTCTCCTGCATTATGCTAACCGTTTTTATGTTAGCATATATTGCATCGACGCGTGATCAGCCAAGAAAACCGTCAAAGTTTGCTGTTTCCAGAAATTCTTCAGTGTGAAAAACAAACTGAAATACAACTCATATATCTTTTATCCTGTTTGACGATTTCGAACATAATATTGATTATGAATCAATACCATCTCATAAACCACTGAAATCGAAATGTTACTGGGTATTCTTTTCATTTGAGTATATGTTAGTACTTGATACCCTTGACTGTTGATACAATTGAATCTGTGTTCTTCAAGTTAAGTGGTAAAATTGTTGTTGTCAGACCACTGAATGACAAGTCGTTCATCGATGTTTTTAGAATTAAATCCATTCGATGACGTAGTGTATCATATCTTAGATATTTTTAAAGTTTAAGACAAAAACATCACTTCGAAATCACTCTAGTCATGCATTTTATTTCTCAAGAGGAAGCTTCTTTTCCATTACATTATTCCGTCGTCAAATGGGAATTTCGGTTGCCTGGACTATTAGTATTTTATAGTTCACATTATATTCTGATTGCGTTTTCAGCGCCAACCCTATCAACTTGGTGAAATAAGGTATCATATTGTAATTCTCTTGGTGGTTTAACTAAAAGACATACCTTGTGTTTAGGCCAGTCTTTTACCAATAACTGGTTTTGGCATCACTCCAGAAACTTCAGCATTCAGTTTGTTTGATGCAAAGCGTACCTTTATAGTTCGAGAAACAATAAAGGTTTCTTTCATGATTTAGTCTATTGAATTTTTCCGAAATCCGTCTGATGAAGTTTGTCAGTCGGAACCATCCACTTTCGGGTCGAATAGTTATTTCGGTTTGATTCTCCTGTAGGGGATATCTTTTCTTCGTCATTATAGTACGATTATTCATCCTAAGATAGTAGCATGACTTCAGTGGATATCTAAACGTGGTAGGAAAAGTACTCCAGCCAGTTGAGTGAAAACTGACTAACACAATACTCAAGTTTTACAGTCACCTAAAGGTGACAATTCTAGATCAGAATGTACAAACACTAAGAAAATGGGAATTCTATGGATATCGCCATCGTTGCTAATGGTAACTTCAGTATCATCAATTTGATAGAGGTTTCAGGGTGGATAGTTTCGCCTATAGTTACAAACTTTTCTATTCCATCTGATTTTTTGGCATAATCAGCTATGAACGTCAGCATAAAGTGTATAGGCTTAGCGAACTGGTAGCGCGTTACAATCTACCAGTATGTAATCACTGTGGAGGGCTATTTTACGCATCAGAAATAACATACATTTAGCTACTGGTAGTTGTTCATAACTGTTTGTGTCAGAGATGTCTTATTTACGATAATCCTTCCAACACATTAAAAGAAAGATGGTACACACTCGTGCTCCCTAGGATGGTATCAGAATTCTCGTTTCCTAATTCAGAATGACTGTTTACGTTATTATCTGGCTGTTTATTTGAGTGTTTTTTCTCAAAGGTAATTGAAGTTAGACACCCTACCGTGTCTGTGAATATTGTCAGGATGACCTGACGTACTAATGGACCTAACCTTAGATGCATCTGACTTCACAGTGATTAACTTACTCCCTGGAGGACATCTGGTTAATTTGGCGTATACAGATTTCCTGGTAGGTGAAGACGCTGACAAAATAAGGGTCTTCTGGACATGCTGAACAGAAATCTGAGTATGTCTGGCATGCGTTTCACACCTGTCAAATGTAAGATGATGCTGCAGGACTGGTCTGCAACTACCCCTATTTTAAGAATAGGAAGTCAAGTGGTGGAATATGTTGATCATCGACTGAGATGACTTGGATGTGTTACACGTGCCGAGTCACCGCCTATCTCGACGTTCCATGCTAGGGGGAGCTGGATTGGGTTGGAAGAAGATTAAGTGTGGCCAGACCAGTCGATGAAGTCTCTTACTGTTGATCTGAGTAGTGTTGTAAGATGTAGACTGCCTGGTTGGGGTCCACGAGACGAAAGGAATCAGTGGTTGGGGACTCAGTGACAACGCTGAAAACCTGTCGCAGTGGTGTAGATGTATCCATTCTTTGATATATTCTAAAGCTCAAATATTCGCACTAACCTTTATCTCCATATTGTTTATTCTGTCACACAACTTTTTCCACTTTTATATCACTCTTATTCTATCCACATGTGTTCTTTGTATACTACTGTGAAGTGTGGCAACTTGAGCCGATGCTCATGTGCACGAGGTTCTAGGTTCATTCTTTTTGTCTGTCTGACGACCCTACTTGTGTTTTAGACGAAAATCTACAAAGTAAACGCTAGGCCTGTTATAATTTAACGTCGTAGTTTTTCTTCGGTTGTTTAGTATCATATGATGAATTCTTGAATAAAAGTAGTTCCCGAAATTACTTTTCATGATAGTCAACTTTAAAATTCTTTGTCATATAACATTTCACTTGTTTTCTGACCATTCCTGTGAATCTGTTTAGGCGGAGGAAGTGATTCGTTCTCGCTTGAATACTGGAGAAGAGTCTGCTGATTTATACTGTGGACTTGGAGACATAACCAGTGATCGTCAGTATTATTTTAAAGCATGGGATGTTTCTAATCACAAATCATCCCGAGCTATGCGTAGTTTAGCTGTTGTATACATGTACACAGATAAGGTTTGTTTGCTCTGTTATCCACTGAATGTTATCAACTATTAGGATTACACTAACGCAATAAAGTGTTTTCAAAAGTCACTGGAAATAAACAATATGCAGGTAATCTTTATATATTTGTCACTCATAATTCACCTGTTGACTTATAACATTTTTGTGTATTGGCAACACAAACTGTCTGATAAGTCGTTATCATTTAAGAATTCGTGGCTGCTGTTAGAAGGAGGTAAATGATATCAACAGTTCTTCTCAATATACTAACTGTTGTCGGTGGTCCATACCCGTGTTGGATGACGCCAGCATTTTTCAACGTTCCTTTACATTTGGTGGACTTTGGTGGAGTCCTACTATGGGTCGTCACTAGTGGTTATAAATATTTTGCAAGGGAATTTCTGTTGCCAAAGTTCAACTGAAAATCATATTGTGAATTCTTATCTTTCGCTAGTATACTCTGCTATGACTGGTGGTATGATCTAACAGCCTACCAGCGATACGGGCCTAGACTGCGAACGATACAAACCTAACGAGCGTGCGAATCGACTCTAACGCAAATCAGAACTCCAACCACCACAACAACAATACCACCAACGCATGAAGATAAGAAGAGAAGACAGACCGTTGACAAAGAGCTTTTTACTGTCTCAACAACAGTCAATACAGTTGACAGCGATGGTGAATATATACATTTTTAAATGACCTCGACATCACAATCTACATATAGGTGAAAATAGTTAACAGCCAATGAGAGTTCAGCTTTGACAGCAGAGGAAAGAAAATCTAGTAAAGGTTTGAAAATAGCCATATAGGTTATTTTAAGGTCATGGGCAAAACAGCAGGCAAAAGCTATGCAAAATTAGGGGTATATACCATCTGTATTGCGCAAATACATCGCATTTTTCAGATAATCTTCGTCTTCCAATAGCGTTATCGAAAAGCATATAGCATCATCTATTTACTTTTAGTTTCTTAAACGTTTCCTGTTTACCCCAAAGTTTTCTAAAGCAAACTAAAGTTCAAAGTATGCGTATCTGCAACCATTTCTTTAATATAGTTTACGTATTTTAAATGAAGGCGGTGTGTTTAGCACATTGTGTTATGTTGATCTGTTGTGAAATACCAACCGTGTGCAGATTGTTGCACTAGACAATGAATTACACGTATTATACAAGATTTAATGAAAACATCCTACTGCCAAAATATCATTAGGTGGAAAATTGTTAAACTAATGACCTTCTAGTCAGAACCCAGCTGGTCGCTGCTGCCTTGATGTGGTGATCGGGCTTGTGCACGACACTGACTCAAAGAGCTATGCTGATGGAACGCTTGGTACCTCATGGTCATACCATACCAGAAAAATATTTTGGGTAGTGGTAAGACGAAAAGCAGTTACCGTTGTAGTGTAAATTACTACGTTATGATGGGGGTCTCGGAGCGAAGTCATTCTGCTGACTGGAGGGGATGTGGCAAGTGTAAAGTGTTTCCTTTGGATGATCGACAGTGCTACACTGATGCTACCTTCCCTTTGGGAATAGGGGAGAAGGTTAGAAAAAGTCGGCCCTAAAATTGGCATACTCCAACTATCCCATAGCATGCCGGTGCCGGAGACCAGGGTTCGTAGTCGGATTAAAAAGCAACAAACTAAAATCTCAAACTTGCAAGAAGGCTGTGTGTTATCAGCTTCAAGTAGATACCCCTTTGGCTCTATGGTCATGAGCTAACTTCTTTTCCAGGTACCTCAAGAAGAACTAGCCTTTGATGATATAGGCAGCCGAGAAGTGTCAGCCGCCAGCACGCTTCCAGTAGTATACAAGATTCAATCCAGTTAAAAGTAGACTGTAACAATTTTCTATTCTGTTTATGTAGGACATGTCTTCATTTAATTACTTGATTGGTAATTTCCACCCAATAAAATGTCATAGGAAGGCCGTGAGTCAGTTACTCAAGATACAACAGAAGTCGCTAAAATAAAAAGAGCACTGTTATGCTAGATAGTATAAAGAGAAAGCGCTTCCTGAAGGATATACCATTGCATTTGAATGAATTTAGTTTTTAGTCTTCCATTGAATAATCACAGTCAGTTTCCCAGCATCTCAATCACGAAATCATTTTCTTATGTCGTACGTATATGGCATATCGCAGGAACTAAAGTTTGGAGACATCTGATATTCTGTTAAATGAAAAAGGGTTTAAGAGGAATGTTTAAAGTTAGATTTCATAATTACTTATAGGAATAGAGTGTCACCTGTGTCACACCAGGTGAAGCAAACCCTGCATGCTTCCGGACTGTTAACATCCAAATTAGATGTGATTAAACCGAGTTACTTGACTAGTATGCTTTTATGTCCGTATAGTTAGCGGTCGAAATCTGAAACCAGGACTCTAGTATTGATGATTTGAATACCGTTTTTTACTGATGAGTATTGTTTTTCAGGAAATAATTCCTGCACATTGTATTTGTTTAGCTACCTAAATCTACTTTTGTACAATTCCATATTTATTACACTTGTTTTTTTAAAAGGTTAACCTATGGTTCACATTTGGATGTTGCTGTCTTCAAGCAAAGGAGTATGCACAAGCTGAGAAGGCTTTTCGTTCTTGTGTTCGCTTAGATGTCGATGTAAGCGCTACTTAGTTTCTACCATACCTATAGATAGGTAGTTTTGAGGTTGTTTACTAATCTTTTTAAATTATTTTTTAGCTCGATTTATAAACGTCAAGTTTAACTGAGTTGTTTTCACGAATACATTTCTGAAGTGTACATTGAAAACTAACAGTACTGTAGACAGATGATTACTCTGACTTTTTCCATTCCTTCGTCCTGTTAACTTCTAGTCCTTCATTGTTCACTGTGTGCACCAGTCTTTAGCACTTAGCATTAATTATTGTTATTCACGTTATTACTAACTAACTGGTATATAAACTGAATACTGTCTACTACTACTACTACTACTTATAATTTGATAGCTCCCTTAGCAGCTAAATGCAGTTTCTTACACCGGGCAATAGGCCACACCTATTGTGTGAGGGTTAGTGATATCAACTTGTTGTCCAAATGTCGGTAGGTGGGGCGGAGTTCCAATCCGCGACCCACCAATTAGTAGTTGTTCGCCTATACTAGTGAGCAATAGCTACACAACGACTGCGGTTAATATTGGTCACTTTGTTTCAGCCAATATTCTTGATGTAACATGGTATTCTGAGCAGGTAAAAGTGCAACGTATCTACTCTTTCAACAACATTTTCATTGGAAGTACTCATAACAACTACACAATAATAATAGGGATAATAATAAGGATAATGATAATAATAGTAATAGGGATATAGAAAGTAATACATGAATGGTTGTAAGCATGAAACAGCCTTTTGTTTGTTGCCGTGAAGTCAGTGAATAAGTTCTTTTTTAATATCACTTTCTTCACACAAGATACGTTCTAAATAAGCTGTGATTGAGGTTTGTATTCTGCCACGGGAGTCTTTCCCTTCCTGGGGAATGACAAGAAATCTTCGAAAAAAGAGAATTCTCAGCATCTAGTAGAAGGGCTGTAACCAATTGTCTGAACGAACCAGAGATCTTTTAGCCCTAAACAGAGCGAAAATCTAACTATATTTCTATCGATCAGCTAAAGCTTACATTATGAAACTGTTACTTTCGGTAATAAAACCTATTGCGAAAGTAAAAAACATCAAAGTTTCTTAGAATCTATGATTGCGACTATAATTATAACTACTTTATTTTAATGTGATAAGTTGGAGTGCATCTGTATTATCATGACGGTCGGAAATCATTTGAATTACTGCTACTTTGATGTGCTGATATGACCTGTGGTGACTCGAACCATTACTCATTTATGCCAGATCTCACATTGATGTTTCCTAATTGACTAGATTCCATATATGTATAATGTTTCAAATAAATCTTTCAGTCCTCTTTAAAAGGGGGGAAAAGTCAATCGGGAAGCTTTCCTCAGCATTCACCATGGCATAAATCGGGCTACTGAATCTGGTAAATGTGGCACTTACAATGGCTCTAGAGAGATCCGCAAATGCTTCCTAAATGTTGTCGATCGTGTGAACTTTTACACTATAGTCGGTGTCTTTCTGAACCACACCTCGAGCATGATCCATAAAATTGCAATCAAGCAATTTGGTGGAGTAAAAATTTTCAGACTAGCATACCTGAGTCCTTATTGAGGTATGACTGAATACTGAGTTCTGCTGTCATACATTTAGCCTCCCGAAATCTACTTTTTTCCAACCAATATGTAGCCATTCTTAAGAATCGCCACATAACAATTTAAACTGAGCTTAAGCAAACGTGCACATCACTCCAGCTGCAGATACGTCTAAAAGCTATCGTCTTAATGACGTGAAGAATCTCCTCTAAGTGATCTGTTTATTATTTTAGTGTTGTGCAGCTCGTCCTAACGAGAATTCTTTTTATCAGGTAGTTATAACTAGCTCTTACACAACAGGTGCAGCTCATTATCCAGTACACATGCTTGATGAGTTACATTCTCACTTCTTTCGTACTGATACTGCTTCAACGGAATATTTTACCCTATTTAGGAGTTTCATCACCCTTATCCGATGGTGTTTTCGAGTCTTTTCTATAAGAATTCGGCCCGTATATCTCTTATAAAGCTGTGACTCATTCGTCAACCGGTGGGTCATGAGTTCTTACTTCATGACGCCTACCAAGGCTTAGCAACCAGGTAGTATCATTATTCCTAATACAGTAGGTGCGGTCTATTACTTACTGCACGAAGGTCCACGTTGTTGCTGAGCTGCACTTATATTTTAATATCTCTTGTATGAGCGGTAGCTGAGGCCCTCACTTGAGGTCTGCTTTATGACAGAAGCTACAGCACTCGTTTTCTTCGCTAAAGCTCATTCTCTTCCCAGGGTTTTCCACCACTTACTGTTGCAGTTGTTTTAAGGAATTTTGGGATATTGTTTCTAACCACAAGCCATAACTCCTCAGTTTTCGCTACAACTATTCATTTCATGTCCTATTATTTTTTTGTGTTTAAAGAGCACCGAGCGACTGTCATAATGCGATAATCCTAATGCCTTGTGAGAGTAATCATGATGCGGGCTACCTTTTTAAAAATATTTTCGTGGGTTCCATTGACATTTTTTGTTACACTGTGAAATTTCCGCTCAAGTAAAAGAACTTTAAGTCCTTAACTAAAAATGGTGATTAGATCTTCCTAAATTCACCTCAAACAGCATATGTATAATACATTTTGTTTCGGGATAATTTGTTGATAATTTTTCGTTAATTTCAGAATTTTGAAGCCTGGAATAATTGTGCTACTGCTGTTTTATTACAAGGAAAAAAGTGAGTTTTATTAATTCTGCACACATATTTTTTTAAAATTTTACTACTGGGCACAATGTCATGTTTGACAGTAAAATGTAGTGCTTCGTAGCTGAGTTTACTGTTTGTATTAATTGATAGCTGCTACTCTGACGTGGTGATTGAGCCTATATATCACAGTGATCCAATGGGCTACTCTAGTGGGAACATTTGTTCCTTGAGGTCCAACAGTACCAGAAAGATCTGTTGTATTATAGTGGTAAGAGAAAATGTAGTTACCGTCATAGTGTAATTAGCTACGGTATGATGGAGTCCCGAGAGCGAAGTTGCATTGCTGAATGGTTGGGGTATGACAGTAGTGAGATGTTTCCCAGGAATGATCAGCAGTCTATGCTGATGCTGTCTCCTGTATTAGAAGGGGACGGTTAGAAAAGGTGTGCTCCGAAAATAGCATACTCCTCTCTTCACTGCAGTATTCCGATGCCTGCAGCATTTACTTTTATCCAGTTGTGGCACAATCAAATCTCGACCCAACAGACTTAAAAAGGTCACGTTCGACCGACCAAAAGCAAGTTTCTCGACACAACCACTTCACTCTCTATTGTTAGGCGAGGCACTGTTGAAGACCAATCCTGGAGCAACAATTTGCATTTGGGTGGTGAGAAACGCATGCCAAACATCCTCAAATTCCCACTCGAAGTGTTCAGAAGACTGCATCTTGTCAGCGTCTTCACCTAACAGGACAATGTCATCTGCATATACTAGGTCTAACGGAAATTCGCCACCGATTAAGTCAACGTCTGTGTAACCTGGTGACGAGAGGGAGACCTCCATAAGAATATCTATGATGGAATTGAATAAGAATGGGGAGAGTGGGCACCCTTGACGGATACCACTCGATGAGTACAGCTCACCATAGGCTCTAACACATCCGTAAGTGTTCGAGTAGAGAGCCTTCAATAAAGTGATGCACTTACTCGGCACGCCTTTCAGTGAGAGACACTGCGATGAGACTTCTCAATAGAGTGAGTCGAATGTCGCCTTCAGGTCGAGAGATACAGCGAGTGTCGGTCGTCTGTAAGCGTGCCTATATTACAGGATCTGGCGCAGTGTGAATATCTTGTCGATACATCCACGGTCAGGTCTAAAGCCTGCTTGGTTTTCTCGAGCTTGCTGTTCCGGAGCTCCAACCAGGTGTCGAAGAACTATAGGACCTAGAATCTTAGACACTAGATTCGTCAGGCTGATTCCTCTATGGTTATCACAAGAGGACTTCTTGCCTTTCTTGAAGACTGGGATAATCAGTGATTTAGACCAGTCAGAGGGGATCGTATTTGATTCTTATATGCTAGCTAACACTTCCGTTAACCTGACTAAGAGAACTCTACCACCTTCCTTGTGTACCTCAGCAGGTAGTCCGTCTGGTCCTTCCTTGTTTCAGGTTACCTACCGCTTTCTCAACTTCTCCTAGTGTTGGGGGGCCTATCTCTATGTCCCATTCAGGATCCGACTGGATAGTGGGCAACGCAATGGTGGCTGGAGGCCAGTTGAACTGCTCGTCGAAGTGTTCTGCCCATCGTTACAGTCGTCTCTCCTGCGAGTGAATCGCAGATCCATCCTTCTCCGCTATAGTCTCACTAACCGTTGTTGACGTTTTCCGCCCAGTCTCCTTAATAAGTCTAAATAACTGTCTACTACTACCGATCGCCGCTGCCTTTTCCATCTCTTTAGCCTTTGCTACCCACCACTGTGCGTGGTCATTGCGTAGACTTTTTCTCAGTCTACTTTTAAGTTGTGCTTGCTCTTCATTGTACTCAGAGCCTGCAGGCAGGAATGCGTTCAGGTGCATTTATTAGTTTGGAAGAGGCTGCTGATATCCACTGGCTCTTTTTAGCCACTATTTTGGAGTCGGCTACTATCTTCAGCGTTGCTCTTACAGCAGACTGGAGATGGCACCAAGCTTCTTCTGGATGAGCTATAGTCTTCTGTTCTGATAAATGTCTAACCAACTTCTCACTGTTTTCGTTGTCCAGCAGTACTCGTGGTGGTTTTGTTGCCAAATGTTCCTTACGTTCATTGAGGCGCAGACATATACGCGCTCGGACCAACACGTGGTCGCTATCCAAACACGTACTCCAGAAGGAGCGGCAGTCTCCCACCGATGCTCTCCAGCGATGACTAATAGCAATGTGATCTGTCTGTATCCATCACTGAGTTGAACTTGGTGGACGCCACGTCAGACAGTGTCTTTTCTTATGTCTGGAATTTGTGCTGGCTAAAAATGGGAGGTTATCTGAGCACAGTTGTAGTAGGCGATCACTGTTATCTGTTCGTCTAGCCGGGATTCCAAAAGTACCACCTAAGTGCCTTTCTGCCCCACTCAGTCTACCCACCTGTGCATTGATGTCACCTGCAACAACCACCACGTCTGAACGTTTGGCTTTCAAGAGGAGGCTAGACAGTTTTCGATAGAAATCGTCCTTCACTTCAATCGAGCTGCAGTCAGTGAGTGCGTAAGCAGAGATTACAAAGAGACAACGACGAGTCTCCCTATTGCTTTTAGTTCTCACTGTGCCATTCAGTCGGATAGCTCAGAAGCGACTATCAACTGGGATCCAGTCCAGTGGTGGGTTTCCTGCCCTAGTGCTTAATGCTGTGGCAACACCTACAAGACCGCGAGAGAGTGAATCTTGCGGACTCACCAAATTGGTCAGTAGAGGTCAGGTGAATAACCGCACTTGGGTCCTGTATGCGTGCCTCACAAACACAGTACACATCTATGGCCCGAGTTGCTAGAGCTTTTGCCAACGAAGCCTGTTGACCAATTTGATGCAGGGTGTGGACATTGAAGGCTCCAATATGTAATTTGGAGCATTGTTTAAGGAGACCAGTGATGCTGTTCTGTGAACTTAGATCGTTGTCAAAGGCTGCGGAACTAGGAGAAATTCAAGATGATGTAGTATTGTTAATTGGGAGACATGAAGGAAGATTAGGTGGTAATGAGGGGGGAGATGGATAGCAGTCTGAGGAAACTTGAGTGCTGAGAGAGTTGTGAGGGTGACTGATACTTCCCGGCTGCCCACTCCGTGGAAGGCTATTTCTTCTTAAGATGCCTGATAGAGATTTATGTGATCGCAGAGCCCACCAAACATCTGCTTGACGTCTGTCACGCATAGCCTTTTGTGTATGTTTGTTTTGAAGTTTTATTGTTTTGGGGTGGGATGGTCGAGAAGAAACGACAAATGAACCAACACCGTCGGCCAGACAGACAGTGGGGCATGGTGGAGTGTTATTTTTTGGGTCAACCTTTTCTAACCCCCCTTTCCACGGAGAAGGTAGCATCAGCATGGCACTGCTGGTCATCCAAGGGAAACGCCTTATTGCTGTCACACCCCATCCAGTTGGCAGCAGTACGATTTCGCTCTCAGACCTCCATCATAGTGTAGTAATTTACACCACAACGGTAACTGCTTTTTGTCTAACCACTATCCAACAGACCTTTCTGGTATGGTAGGACCTCGAGGGAAGAAGCATTCTACCAGCATAGGTCGTTGGGTTATTGTGATATGCAAGCCCGACCATGTCGAGGTAGCAGCTATCGGTTGGGCGTGACACTTGCCTGTGCTCATTCGTAATTTTCCCGTACGTACTTACCGACTCAGCTCGGGTGATACAAAGGGTGAATTTTTTCGGAAGCTGCCAACCTCGCTGCATGAATCAAAATGTCCATACCTAGTCGTGCTAGTTGGCAACATCTGCGCTCAATTAGGGAAGCTGAGCCAATCGGTAAGGTATTTTGGGGGGTATCTATAGCATTCGCTGACAACAAATTGACAAAGATCGTTTCTTAAAGTTTTTTCCAACAACCACTTGTTTATGGCCAGCATAAAAGGAAACGCTGTTAAGTGACTTACAGTCACGTATCAGTTGCCCAGTATGCAATTCAAATCAGATGTTGATGTCGGTCTTCCCTCTCTCCTTAAAGTTGATGGTTGTTTCAAACCTGGAACGGTGCAAAGCAGCAAGATCTGACCGTTTTCCATCAGACATCTTCAGGAATGTAGGTAGAAAATTAATGAGTGCGGTAAAAAAAGTACCAGATGGTGTGTGGAAATCAGAAGTATTTACTTTGAACTTGTCTAGATCATTCCAGTTTCTAAAAATGTAGCGAAGTCTTCTTGTGACAACCATAGGAAGATCAACTTGACTAACATCGTATGAGAGATCATTGGGTCCAAAGTTATCAGACAACTAATGGCATCTCTGGAGGAGCGTTCTTGAGAAAATCAGATAGATCCCCCACCTAGGATAGGGTGTCAACCAGATCTTCACCATTCAACTGGTTTTGGAAGATAGGCATTCTTACCAGTGGCCGACAGTCACCTCCAAACCTCAGTGTGGCATTTAACCCTGCTGACTGGGATGTGTTGCGGTAGTGACTGACTGTGAACCGAGAGCCGAGCAAGTGTATATTTTCTACTCAAACTCATGCAGATGTGTAAGAACTTATGAGGAGTTGACATTCACCGTTCCTGTGTATCTTTGTCATAGACAAGCTGATGTACATAGCCTCAGCTCCAATTTTACATGATTCGACCTACTCCCATGAGCACAGCTAGTTGACCTGGAGTACTCAGGCGACATTGTCAAAAAAACTGGGAGAAAGACGCAGTATTTCCCGTGATTCTTCATGGCTCCTCAATACCATACTTTATCTCTGTCCTTTCGTGTGGAATTCACTTCCTGAAGATCTTGTAGCAGTTTGATTACCACCAATCTACTAATGTGAAATCTCTTGGTCATTCGTTTTCATGTTGAATTTATTTATACTGTTTTTCAACTGTCCTTCTATACCGTCAGTTGTCGCTCATCCCGATTACATAACATCCTTGCCCTTTCAGATTATAGATTATATATCAGACAAAATGGCCTAAAAATTAATGTTTTAATGGTTAAGATTTATCTAAATTAACTTGTCAGTGAAGACTATCGTTTCCAAAGACCGTCATAATTAAGAATTTTTCACTTCAGAAATATAGCACTGAAACTGATGAAAGAAGCATCCAAATATAGCTTTGAAAACTGGCGTATTTGGGAAAATATTCTGTTGGTAAGTGTACGAAATCTTTATTTTAATTAGACTCTCATATCAGCGTCTTTATTTATAGTTTGTGATATATGGGGGTTCTACTCATTAGCCGTTTAACTTTGTCTTGTACCCCATCGATCATGAATTTTTTTAACTACTCTACGGAGCTGTGGTTATTGCATTCCATCGTACAATAGTTTGGCTAGATTCAACGAAATATCGCAACTCCATGTAATCAATAACTGCTGACTTATTCTGATTACAAATATAAGTTTTATCCAGCATTGCAACTATAACACTTAGTTTTTCTAATATTCACTGGGAAAGAAAGCAGTAGTCTTTCAGTGTATTTGATCTTATAAGAGTGAGCAACAATGTTGGTAAGCCTCAAGAGTAACTTAACTAGTTACGGTGTTTGGTTATGACTATCTACAAGGTGTATATGACTTATTATTATTGTTAGCTTTATTCCCTTCCATTCCTAGAGGAACATAGGGCTTCAGTAGCACGTTCCCATTGCACTCTGTTCTCTGCAATCTTTTTAACCTGGCTCCACGACTTCCCACAAGCTTTCATTCCTTCCTCACATGATCTCATCCATCTCACCCTCGCCTCGGACGCCCAACTCGTCGTTCCCCCCTTGGACTCCACTCGACGGCATGGCCTGGCGCGTGATGTCCCCAGTCGGCCTTCTCAGTGTATGCCCAATCCATCTCCACTTTCTTCTGCATATCTGTTGGGCGATAGGTTCTTGTTTGGTTCGTTGCCAGAGTTCCTTGTTGCTTATTCTTTCTGGCCATTTGATCTTCAGTATCGAGTGAGCGTAGGTGGCAGCTGTCGATGAATGTCTGTAGTTTGTTGGGAATGCCTTTCGTGACACGCCAAGTTTCTGAACCACATAGCAGCACTGACTTGACATTGGTGTTGAAAATTCGGATCTTGTTCTTTGTGCTGAGTGCAGTGGGTCCCCACACTGATTTCAGATTAATGAAGGCTTGTCTTGCTGTATTTCCGATCCTGGCTGGCTTTGACGTCCTCGTCTGTGCCGCCTGTAGTTGAAACGATGCTGCCTAGGTAGGTGAAAGAGACTACTTCCTTTAGGTTTCTCCCGTTGATGGTGATTGGTGCCTCTTGTTGTTGATGCTGTTGTTGGTTGGGTATCTTCATCACCTCTGTCTTCTCTACATGCACTTGAAGTCCCGTCTTCGCTACCGTGCCTCTTCTGTAAATTTGTTAGTTTTCGCCTGTAGATGTTCTAGTTTGTGCCACAAGACATTAGACAGAAATCATCGTCGGGGAAATCCATATCTTCTAGGGTCTTTTCATCGGTCAAACAGCGTATGCCCATCTTCTCGCTCCTCACGGTTTGCTGCATGATCCAGTCGACCACAATCAGGAAGATCATGGGTGATAGTAGGCGGGAACCTTGTCTTACTCCTGTCTTCACTTCAAAGGCGTCGCTGAGCTTTCCATTGTGAATCACTTGGCATGTGGCATCCTCATATAGCATATAGCTGTTGAATGAGGTTGATGAAGATTTGTGGCACTAACATCGTAGTGTTGAAGCAGCAGTTGTCAAATTACTTCTCGGTCGACGTTCTTGAAGGCCTTTTCAAAGTGGATGAAGTTGAGGTAAAGCTCCAGTTGACTGCCATTCTGTACTCTGTTCTATGATGATGCGTAGCGTTGTGTTGCAATTTGATCCACACATGATTTGTTCTTTCTGAAGCCAGTCAGCCTGTTCCGGTCGTAATTTTGAGTCCAGTGCATTGTTTAGTCTCTCCAGGATGATGCGGCATAATATTTGCTTGCTTTGGGTGGACAGGAGCATGATTCCACGCCAGTTCTTGCAAAGGCTTATGTCTCCCTTCTTTGGGAGTTTGACAAGATAGCCTTCCTTCCAATCGATAGGCAGGTACCTTTCCTTCTTTCCAAACCTTCTTCAGTAGTGATGTGAGCATGTCGTCTGTTGTCTCTGTGTCTGTTTTCAGTGCTTCTGGAGGACTTCCATCTGGTCCTGCTGCCTTCTCGGATTTCAGCAGTTTTATGGCATTCAGGACTTCTGCTTTTGTCGGAGGGTCTGTATTCACTTGTAGTTCTGCCGTTGCTGGTGGTATTTGTGGACGAGTTGCAGGTGGTGGTGGTTGTCGACTCTAGTTTTTTTGAAGTGGTCAGCCCATTGTTTCCTTTGTTTCTCCTCTTTGGTAACTAGATTTCCCTCACAATCTTTCATTGGTTTCGTCTGCGTTGATCTCTTCCTAGATCGTTAGTAACCTGATTATTTGATATAGTGTTGTCAGGTCTCTATATCTCCTACCTGCAGCCTGTTCTGCTCCACTTGCAAGTGTGTTGTAGAGGTGTCCTTTGTCTTTTCGTGCACTCTTCTTCACTTCTTTGTCCAGTGTTTGATACATTGTACTCAGTTCTTTTTCTCATGTACTGGTTTATCTTCTTCTTCACCATCGTCCTCTCTTTTATTAGCTTCCATGTGCCCGTCGAGATCCATTCCTTGTCTTGTTTCCTCTTCCTTCCTAACACGGTTATGCGAGTTTCTTTCCACATCCGTTTCACAGAGTTCCAGTGTTCATCCGCACAGGTTTCTTCGGGGATGTTGTTTAATGTCACCCATTTTTTCCTGATGACTGACGTGAAGATGTCCTTTGTAGTTTCGTCCTTCAGTTCAGTTTCTGTTCTGGGTGTTGAACTTGAACTGTGGTCTATCATCAGCTTGCGTGAAGGCGATCAACTTGATTTTGAAGGCAGGTTCCTTGCACTAGATAGTGAGTGGTGTGAACTCCCCTTCTTGATCTTGTGTCCAGCAGGCTGCGTCTCTACTTTCTCGAGATTGAGATGAAGTCGATCTAGTTTTAGTGTGTCCTGGTGTCTGATGAAATCCATGTCTCTCGCTTTGTGAATATCCTTGTGTTTGTACACACTGTCTTCTTTCACCAAGTCATTGAAGGTGCAGAAGTCTGCAAACAGTCCTCCGTTCTCATTCATTTCACCTAGTGCCTCTCGACCCATGATGAGTTCTCTTCCTGTGTTGTCTGCTCCCAGTTTGGCATTCATGTGGTCCATTAGAGTTTTGCTGTCGCCAACTGGAGTCTTGTCTATTACTGATTGCAGTTGTCTATAGAATTCCTCCTTCTCTTGATCTGCATTATTTGTTGGCGCGTAGCATTGAATGATTGTGACTTTCCTTCCTTTTGAGTTGAATCTTGCTGTTATGATTCTGGTCAAGGAGGAGATTGGTTCCCACTGCATGAGAGAGAGCCTTCGATGGTCTTGGGGAAATCGTGATAGCCACTCCAGAACTTCGTGTGCTCGTGGTTGTCGTTTGGGTGACCGGAGTAGATTATTGACTCTCCAGTTGACAGTTTGGAGAGTCCACTCCCATTCCATCTGCTTTCGCATATTCCAAGCACTTCAATGGCATATCTCCTCGTTTCTTTTGCAATTTGGGAAGCCTTGGTAGGTTGATGCATGGTGCGGACATTCCATGTCCCCACGTTTACTTTCGCTCTCATCGAGAGAAGACACGTCGGCCGACTGGCTTCCGGAATGCTTTCACCAACCGGTGTCATTTCGTGTCTCCGATTCCAGCGAGGAATAAGTTCGTTTTTATGTTTTATATTTTGTCTATGCTTTGGAGTTCCTGTAGAGGTTGGATTTGTTTTACAGGTTAGGGTTACTAGCCCTAAGCCCAAACTTCCCTCTTTACCCGGGCTTAGGGTCGGCTAGTAACTAGTGAACTAGGTAACCAGGCGACGATTTCTTTGTTTTACTTTATAAGCATCGGTAGGATTGTTACTGCATGAGCTCATGTTTCTGTAAGCAAAATGTTCGAATATCCTGCTGCTAAGCATCTCCTACAAGTTTGTCTTCAAAGTTTCTAGCTGTAAACGTTCATTTATATTCACAACTAGGATGGGTAATAAATAATCTGTCAGGTTCACTTGTAGAAACTTTCTCAACCACTAAGATAACCTTGAAATCAAAGTTTTTAGAAAACTTCGCTACGTAGATGCTATTCAATTCATTTCACTTGTTTGATACTAAATATATCCAGATAAGCGCCGAAACGAAAAGTTTTCAAGATACAATATACGCCTATAATCGTCTATTGGATATACATGGGAAGTATGCAAATGCTGAGGTTCTCGGTATTATGGTTAAAGCCGTCATTGAAAATGAAAGCGATTGTACAGGAACTCCTGCAAGTAATATACGTAGCAAGTTACTTGAACTGTTTGGTCGAGTGACAGCAACTGTAAGTTTCTTCTTCCATTGGTGTCATGTAAAACTTGCAATTTTATAGATGTTATATAATAATAAGTATAACACTCCAAGTGGATCGAATAAAGTTACCTGTACAAGATACTGGATAGTAAAAAAAACTGTGAAATTAACTGAAAAGTAATGAAGTGCTTTTTATAGTCGTAAAAATTCCTAGAAATGTTCACCACTGTTAGATTTGTTTGTTAAGCAGTACACCAAGTTTGTGACAACTAACTTAGAGTAATTTTGATTACGAACTTTGGGAAGACCGTTTAGATAGGGAATTACTGAACCAGATTGGTTCGGTAGTTTGAACAGCTGGAAAGATATTATGCAAACAGTATTTGTTTTCCGATTATTCAATTCTCCTATTTTTGAGGTTGGAATTCATCATGGACCAACATCAGTTGGAGGAGCATTGGAAATCTGGGAGCAGTGGACAGCTGTTTCGTCCTAGTATGGAACTCTCCAGCAGTGCGCACCCACGGCCTCTCCAGTGATCGAACTCAAGACCTTCAGGTTCCGTGGCCAGCACGGTTACCATTGAGCCGTTGGGTCTAAATCTAATGGTCCATATTCCCGACTTCTGTCAGTTCACAGTATAGTGCGACCTACATCGAATGTCTTCATGTTTGACTTAGTTGACTCCACTATTCACGACTTCTTATTGAAACTTGGGGAACCACCTCTCGAAGCTAGTTATCAATGAACGCTAGAGGAGTTGGTTGCCGTGAAATGTGCTAGACCTGTTGAAACATATTTTGTCCTTTGATATTAAAGCTGTAGTTCACTGAATTGGGCAGTCAGTACTGAAACAATGTATGGTGGGTTCGAATCCTATTGTACCTATTAACGTCGAAATTGAGAAAAATGGTTAGCATTGAACTTGTGGGTAAGAATTAGACTTATAAATATATAGAAATTCAAGAGTTTCGAGTATCTGACGCTCAGTGTGTAATAAAAAAGGTTGAACTAATTTTCAATTATTGATCATTGTATTTGATGTTGGATGCACAATCTACTAAGAGTAGATATTATGTTACTACCTAAAACATCGAGCTAAATGAATTCATATCAAGAAAATATTGTAGTTATCTCGTTCTAATGAGTGTAAGCAATTGTGAAAAGTAACTGTAGAGCTCTTGTGCTAGTTAAACATTACATCACACAACAAAGATGTACAGCAATCATCTTCATGTAGGTTTGAATGCATTCATCTAAGTGTGTTTCTTTATGCGATCACAATGTGAACTGATGATCTGAATTAAATTGGAATACACTCAGAAACCTTATGCACACTTGTTCAGTAAGCAACTATATTGTGGGAAAGCTAATGATACTACATGGCTACCTAAGCCTCGGTTCGTGGAGCGGGGCTAGGACCCATAACCCATTGGTTGAAAGTCATCTCCCTAAACCAATAGGCTACAGCTCTCCAAAATGCTTATCTATGAAACATCTGTGCAATGTATTCACAAATCATTTTTGTGCATATAGGTAATTTTGGGCAAGAAGATTCAGTGTATGATTTTTTATATGCTGTGATTGATTGGTGTGTTTTTTATTACTCTACTGACAACTACTTATCCTTGGATAGAATTTGGTGGGCTGTCCTGAAGTTTTTAATTCTAGTTGTATCTTTGCCTATCTACTGTAAGTTATCGTTCTTTGACATCTCATTTAAGTATTTAGTGTATTCAAATGTATTTGACACTTCTGATTGGCTCAGTATTTGATACATACCAGAAACAAATCGTGTCAGCATAATGAGCAAATATGTTTAAATGCATAGTGAAGTATTATTTCCTTTCTACTGTTCTCAGTTTCACTAAGATCCCTTTTCACTTAAACTTCTTTCAATCCTTTGTATGCTATTTGTATTCACTGACTTTCTATCCAATAGACACCGACGGATGCTTCAGTATGGGATGAATACGCACAACTTTTGTTTGATGAAACCCCTCAGACGAATTGCACCACTTATCAGCGTGTAAGTGACAGTATTCTTCCCTATATAGATTGTGCAGCCATCCGTATATGTTAGTGTAATACAGTTTTACTACTTCAACCAAGAATGTTTACTTCAGGTGCCTATCAAATTGTGTACATCTTGGTCATTCGCAGTGGAATCTAGGAGCGGCGTTTCGTCCTATTTGGGACTCATCGGCTGGGTTTGCCTGCACCACAGTGGGTGATATTGCTCCCACTGAGAACGGGAAATTACAAGTATCAAAAAACAACAAGTGCCTATGAGTTTGCGGATTGACCATGCAAACGAAAATCACTAGTTTTTATGGTTTTGATGTTTTCTTCTGTTTTTATTATTGTTGAAGTGGTCCAATATTATCATGACATTGTTTCTTCGTTTATTGATGCTCCTTTGCTTGCTTAGGGAAAACTATCGGTAACCCACATGCTGTACCTAGTTTTAGAACGTATATCATCATCATCAACAACAAAACAGGACCAAGTACTACTGCGTAGCGATCCGAATTGCCACACTTCATATTAGCGCATCAAAGTAATAAAGCAATAAAATAGAAGACGAAGAAGGAAAGAAAAATTGATAAAAAAAGAGCAGAAAGTAGTAAAAGAGAGGAGGGAGGAGTGAGAAAATGATGAGGCTAAGTATGGCGGTTAGGGTGAGGATAATGTATGTAAACATCTGAGCCATATCACCTAGAGTCTCCAACCACTGATTTCTCTTGTCCCAACCGGCTGGTCTGCATCTCCCTACATGGTTCGCACCAACAGTCAACGACTTCATGCATTGATGCCATGTTTGAGTCTGGCCGCCCCGAGCCTTTTTCCAGCCTAAACCTACTTCGGACAACATTGTGCAACGATTGAGACGTTATCCACTAGGCCACTGGGACAGGAGAGCCACCCCTTGCAAAAGAGGCATCATTTATTATCATTTATTCATACTTGCGATTTCTTGCTGCTATTCTTGATTGAATTGACCAACCTCTGTCTCCCGACCGATAGCTGCTGCCTTGACGTGATGGTCGGGCTTGCACACCACAATAACCCAACAAGCTATGATGGTAGAACGCTTGTTCCCTCGAGGTCCTACCATACCAGAAAGGTCTGTTGGATAGTGGTAAAATGAAAATCAGTTACTGTTGTGTTGTAAGTTACTACACTATGATGAAGGTCTGAGGGCGAATTCGTGCTGCTGCTAGCTGGATAGGATGTAACAGCAGTAAGGTTGGATGACTATCAGTACCATACTGATGCTGCCTTCTCCGTGGAAAGGGGGGTTAGAAAAGGTTGACCCCAAAAAAACCACACCCCACCCTGCCCTACGGTCTCCTGGTGCTGGCGGCATGGGTTTTTCGTCTATCCCACAAAAGGCTGCACGTGATGTTTCTTATGTATTTGTGAACTATTTCAATTCAGAAATGATTGTCCATTAAGCTGTCTACCATTTATTGTATCCAGAGACTTGAGATTATTGAATATCTTACCCGGTGACTGGAATGTCTACTAGGCCTATCATCCTCAATTCTTCCCAACATTTGGAATTTAAACACTATGTCGTACTTAAACTAGTTGTAGTATTGCCAATAAGCATAAATTAACGCTTGACTTCTTTTCATTGTTTTGACGCCGTTTCGTTTCCTTAAATTAATCCTTTTTTGACGAATTCATAGGTCTTTCAGTGTCTTCAAACTGCCCATCGTTGCCGTGTACAACCAAGTGAGGGACCATGGGAGCAAAATACAGATAAACGTGAAGCGGTTGTTAATGGTTTAAGGGTTTTAGCTTATTTGTTAGATAATCCACCAAAATTGGACGATGACAATAGTGAATCGCAAAGAAGACTTGACGCTTTTATTCAATCCAGTCTGGCTAGTCTACGGATAAGTGTAAACTCAGTGATTGCCAAACTGAAAGTGAGTTTTTCTCTTCCCTATTTCCATCTTCGTTAATTTTTGATATTGAAATGCTGAGTAATTGTTTCTCTTTCGGCGTGTAATATTTGTTCTTCTCGATGTGTTATATTTTGCAACAATATTCTGTTCAATGACGATGTTGTTTGTTATCCTTAAGCACGATTCCTGAAAGTTGTATTTTTATTAGGGGTCTCTGAACTTTATAAACCGTATTATTTTATCTTACTCATGAGAAGACTACTTAATGCATACAATCGATCAAGCAAAAAGCGATTACATTCCAAACGATCTCAATTAAGCTTTGTTGTCAATGTTCATAGAACACCTTTAACCATTCTGGACAAAGGCGCTATATTAGATCTGCCTTTTTAGATAATACTTCTGCCTTTGATTCTGATATTAGACCCCTTTTATTAAATAAGCCTGCCATTGAGTTCCTGATTGCAAACTGGATTCATTCTTAATTTTTCTGACAGAAGAATGCACACTTTATGCAGCGGAAAGCTCTCGTCGTCACTACTTGATAAAGCTGGTATTCCTCAAGGTGCTGTCTTTTCTCACTTCCTTTTATTTCCTTCGTGCATGACTTGCTTACCTCAGCTAAAACAAACGTTATGAAGTATGCAGGTGACTTAACAGTATGCGTGCTGGTCATTTCCTCTTCAGACTGTTCTCAGTTTACTAACTTCTTAACCGAAATTATCCATTGGTCTTCCTTGAACGGCTTCACACTCAATCCTTCCAAATGTCGCATAGTAATTTCAGCTTAAGAAGCGAACAAGACTAATGTGAACTGCTTCAGTCTCATGACTCTTGTTTTATTGATGGCTCTGTTATAGAGAATGTATCAAGTGTGATCCATCTTAGCTTATGCTTTTCTTCTGATCTTTCTTGGTCCCACCCCTATTTTCTAGTAATTTCCAAGAAGATCCTGCGGTTGGTGTTTTATACAAGGAAACTCACACTGTTGGCATCATTCAGCCCCTATTCTTATGTTTTGTTAATTCCTGTGTTTTACCTATACTTATTGTTTTCCTGTATTCTTTCTTGGACTCTCGCGCAAAAAGACTATGCTGTATTGTGAAGGGTTTTGAAGGACGTTAGTAGAGCGAGTGGTACACCGCTGATCGTAATGCTAAATACGGTTGTGGATAGGGGTCTGAATTCTTGCAGACAGCTGGCTACAAATATTTTATCTAATGACAAGCATCCTCTGCATTCGCTCTTCTCTCTATGTTTGTCCTCATAGAAGACAATAATCGAGGATACAAAAGTTTATGCACGTAGACCTACTAGGAAAATTAAATTTTTGCTGATAAAGGCTGAGTATTGTGTGAAGAAGTTCACGTTTGTAATCGCTAAAAGTTTTCATGAAGCACAAGTCATTGAGCTTTTGAGTTTTTTTATTGATGCTGATCTGTGTGGCTATCTCAGATAGTCAAAATGATAATCCTTTCTTTCTTTATGATATTTTGTTAACCGATGCCGTTGTTAATGTATGTGTGAAAACTAATGCAATATCCCATGCTGAGAATTCTATACTGTACACAGGATTGTAGTTCAGAATCTAGAAATTATATTATTACGAATTTTATTAGCATTATCACAAAACATAAAAAGGAGTGATTTTATGGATAGTCTATGTATCCAAAAGTTCTTTTCACATGTGTTAGCCTACTTCTTCTGGAGATAAAAAGTGGATGTGAGGTTTACATTCACTGGTAAAACTTTCCGAGTGAAGGTTACTCAACATTTTCTAAATTTTTGGTTGTCGGAAATCATTTCCACTCAATGAAACTTATCTACAACCAGACGCAACAGCACAAAGTAGCACAGTTGAATGGATACGTGTAGTAAGTTTCTGGTTTCGTGAACTTAAAAGATGAGTAACTAGTATATATATACGTATAAACTGGTTATCATAAAATTAATACTCTTCTCATCAGTGATGGGTAGTACTCCAATTTATGCACATAGAGGACAGTTGTTCTCAATCACATATCATCAAGAAAGTGCAAGTAGAACTATAGAAATGTAAATCATGTACATTGTATGTTTATTGCAGTATCCATGGGAGCTGGAAGTACAGTATGAAGGGGATTTATGTGAGATGAAATCGGTAAATATTTCACAACTGACAATTTAAAAGTTTCCTTCAGGCCTAGTTTGCTATTTAACAAACTGTTGGGAATTCCATATGACAAAGGTCTCTCCTCATGTAAGAAATTTGTTAAGTAACAACTTTTCCCGCTGTTGGCTACAACACTGGGAGGTACACATTGTAGTCTCCCAGTGAAAATCAGTACCTTCGGGGTTGTAGATAGGAATTGGTGACGAGTTCCGACATGCGTGAAACGTAGGTTCAGGCTTTCTGTCTACTACCTTTTTTGGTTCCTCCATATTCTACTGATCTCTAGGAACGTCCTGCTCTTGGCCCTCGACATGAAAAGACTGCGCTTTTGTGGCATAACTCAGCGTCTGCTTTTATTTTTCGTTAGTTCCTGTGATTTGTCTGTACTTACTTATTGTTCCTTCTGATTCTTTCTTGGATTTGAGAAAGAAAAAGATTTTGCTGTGTTGTGGAGGATTTTGAAAGCTGTCAGTACACCAGTGACTATACTGATAATCTTGTTTTTGGAAAGGCATAGACCATAAGAATCCTCTGTATCCGCGCCTCTATGTCTTTCCTCAGGAAAGAGAAGAAGCAAATACTTTGAACTTTATGTACGTAGAACTATGTGCAGTAATTCAACTATACCGTATTTAGCTTGTAAAGAAAAGCACGCAAGAAACAGTCTTACGAATCATTTTTCTGATAGCGACAGTTATCATCCTGGAGTCATTAAATATTCGAACAACCCTATTATCATCTTTAACCTTTTGTAAACCAGTATGATTGTGAACATATTTGAAAAATGTTGTACACCGAGTAGAGTACCCCAGTATTACATACTGGAAATTCTGTACTGCGAACGAAATTACGGTTCGGAATAAACCAAACTCTTTATTTTTATTATTAGTAGTAGTTTGTAGTGTGAGTGGTTCTCCTGTTGCTTTTATAAAACGGTAGGTTTGACTTCATCCAGTATTAACTAGTACATGTGAAGTAAGCGGTAAGTTCTATCACAAAAACTTCATTTCCGGGCGTTATTCCATTTTCTCCGCTACACTAAAATGTGGCATCAGTTCTTAAGGTTTTTGACTGTTATTCTAAGCCTTGTATGGGCTGCTTGGGGACATTTCGATGATAGAAATTCATTTTTGGTAACCCGTTGTATTATGGCTAAAAGTTGATCGCATTACTGTGGATGTATACACTTTTTGTCATTTTGGCTGTTTTGAATATTTTCATAAATCTACATCTGTTTATTCTCTTTCCTCTCATACACTTTTTTCTTACCTTTATGTTATATTTTCTTTTGTCACGTCTTCCTAGTATTTAGCTTAAAAGCATGGTAACTTGGAGTGATGCACTTCTGGATCAGGTTATGTGTCGGTCTGTCTGTCAGATACAAACCTCTATCTTTGGCTACAGTCTCTGGTTCATCTGGTTTTCAGTAGACGAGAGATATCTTGTTGTAACAACAGATAAAGTAGCTTTACTAATATGGTCTTCATGACTACAGGATCTGGAATCACCGGTACATCTGGCTAGAATTCCGAAAGAAAATGTGCAGAAAAGTTAAGGTTTCATGCATGATTGTTGGTGTATCTCTAATCTCTTCACCTTCAGTCAGATTTAGGAATACACTCATACTAACACCTTTCACCTGTCATATTTCATAATTTTCGGACAACATTTATTTTCTACGAAGAAGAGATTAACGGTAGTCTCTCACTGAAAATAATACTTAGTAATTATATCACCTTACTGAAAATTCTTCACTCAAGCAGCATCCACTGTTATTTTATGGTCTACAGTGAATTTAATAAATTTCGACTGTATAGACGAATCATTACTTATTTCTTTTATGAATTCTGGTGAGAATTTGATCGGGTAGTTTCACAAATATAAATATTGGTTGCCGAGTGAAAAGCGCACATTGGATATAAGGTGTATTTGCATAAATCTCAGCTTGTCTGAAGTGAATTATCCCAGCGTTTTGCACGGAAGTCTAATCCAAGCGTCTTCAAGAATATATATATATATATATATATATATATATATATATATATATATATATATATATTTCAGTTAACGTAATAAGTTGAGTTGCATGAATCTGAAAATATCTGCTCTAGCTTTGAAAAACTGTATTTACAGTCAGTCTACTTGTCTATAGCAATAGTAATATAACTCAGTAACCGAATATATGTTCCTAAGTAAGGCGATAAACCACATCTATCGTGTGAAGTCTAGTGATACTGCTTGACTACTTCAACATATTTTGGTGGAGCGGGTTTCTTGTTTGTTTACACTCAGTTACATTGATTAAGAAAAAAAAGAAGGGTATCACTTTTCGATTTATGTATCTGTGTGATACTTCAACGCCCTACCTGCGTCTTTGCAGAAGCTGATGAAGGATGCATCAACTAATCCTGAAATTCGTATATTTCTAGTAAATTTCTTGTCTTTAAACACCTGTTGGTCATTACTTCTCTAGTAATCTATTTGTAGCCCTTGTGAACGATGGCTTCACTATCACTTTTCTAACACTCATCTATCTACGTATCTGGTTACTGGTATCTTAAAAATGCCATCCTCTTTTTGCCCGTACTACTCATCTCTTACAGCTATTATATCTTTCCTTCATTTTTCACTCTTTAGTATGCCTGAGACTGGCAGCAATGAGTCTTCTTGTTTAGAGTAGATTGGAAAAGCTATTGATTCATACTTACATCTAAAAACCTGCAGAGTAATGCATTGTGGAGTTGTGGTTCCATTAGTTTATGGAGATGGGTTTTAGCCAATGGGTTCGAACACCACTCCACCTACCGAGTTTTGAGCACCTGGGTGGCACCATTAGGGCTCACACAATAGGTGTTGCTTATTGCCTACCGTACAAATATGTACAAGGTTTCTGAGTTCATCTCATCAGCATTATCATATATATGTACTCTACCATTACTGAGTATCTCTTCTCAACAGCTCTATTTTATCCTACTTTCTTCAAAATAATTATTATTTCGTTCATCTATATCGTGAATATTTGCTTTTCTGATTATTTCTAGGTCGCTGAAGAATCACTCATTTCAGTAGATGTTCGAAAGATGATTTGTTCTTCACACAAAGACTTAAGTGAATTACTCATTGGTATAGAGAAGAAAATAACTAATTAAAAAATCTGGATTTGTTTTTGCTTTTTTTTCAACTTTCATTTTTGTATATGAAAATATTGTGAATATAAATTTTAATTAATCTCTGGTTCTTTTGATGTATTTACCTTTGTGTCAGTGTGTTTATGGCTTCATTCTTTCACAAGACTTTAAATTTGCTTCCATTGTATGTCAAAATATTACATTTTTTTACACATTGGTTACAAAATGATTACTCATGTAGCTATCGAATCCCTAGTTCTCAGTACTGATGGAAATCTGAGCTGTAGCTACTAAGCTGAATGATGCGAAACTCTGTTATGCATTTCGCTTTTTGTTAGATGTTACAAGTATTTACTGCAAACAAACTGGACATAGCGTACTTGTTATTGCTCTACTAATTGTTCACTTTCAGTGTTAGTACGTGAGATTTCCTCTTCTTTTTTTTGATGAAAGTTGTTCATAAAAATTAAATAAAGTAAGGTCATATGGTTTTAGTACTAAAGTTGACCTACTTTTTCCGTAACTGAACGTCAATTATTCGATTATTATGCATCGTAGTCAGCATGTATTTGATTCAGCAGTGGTTTTATACTCTTCATAGTTTTCCATTTCTGCAATGATAGTTTGATGTCATTCTTCATAAGTGCATAACTGTTGTAGGATAGAGTTCATTATTGTTTTTCGTATACGGGATTTCTGATACCTGGCTGTGAGGTTGTTCTCATTTATTTCTTTATAGCTTCTGCAATATTTTGGCTGGTACATCGATTTTCATTTTCACATTACCGTCTATTGTTCACTTTTTTTCAGAGATGCTATTTTCACTTCGTTGGAAAGAAAAAATTTTCTTCTCTGAAACCACGTATTGTCTTTTCCTATTACAAATTTCTATGAGACACCAAATTTTTCATTGTGAAATGATATGCCGATTTGATATGAACTCTGATTAAATGACATTACTGTACTGTACTTCATGTAGCAATGAGTGTAACAAGTTACTGTAGTCAGTGATGGACCCCTGAATATGGCATTCCTGCTGACAAAACCCTCAGGTTTTTCAATGCGTTTAGTAGATGATTTCTACTTCCTGTATATTCAACTTATCATTCACTTGTGAGTTAGTATTTAAACACTCCGATGACCATGTAGAAGTACTGAAATACAGCTAGACTAAAAGCAGTCACAGACTTTCTTCAAAAAGAATAAGGGATATAATCAGTGTTTAATAAAAATTACTCTTAAGTTTTCGAACACTTTTTGATTGAGGAAGTTTTAAATGTTGAATCAATATTTCTGTTAGTGGCATATAAATTCACTGAATCCAAGGTGTCTGTTTACATAGACTATGTATCAGATTATTGATCATTCATTGACCTGTAAGGTGGACTACCAGTGTATCTGGCCTTCCTTATTTGGTGATCATTTGACTGCTGGTAACTACTCCAGATCACGTTTCCTCCTATTTGAGATTTTCCATTTGGATGTGCCTCATCATCAGTAGGTGATGTTTTTCCCATTGAGACTCGAACCCAGCACCTATGACTTCAAACTCTATAGGGCTATCCACTGGGGTACGAGAGCGACCTCTTACATATATCAGTAAACAATAACTGATACGTAGCGACAAAAGGCAGCCAATAGGGGAGTCGTTTTCAAGTCATGATCAGATCATGTTCAGGTCGTGATTTATGCATGCGCTGACATGAGAGCCTGATTGGAGAAGTTCGGCCTCATACCAGAAATCAGATTGGTTTATTTATGGCTTCACTTTCTGAGAGTTTTGTAAATACATATATGTCATGTATTTGCCTAATGAAAGTTGTCCCTGTTCTTGCAGTCACAGGCCGTCTTTGTCCTCTGATTTTACGCGGCTCAGTGAAGCAGAAGGTACTGAGGGAGGTCAGTCGTAAAGGTATTCGGTTGAGGTGTCTATTGAGTCTCAGTATTCATTATATCCACGCACGCAACCACCACTCGGTCACAACAGATACCCACTGCACAAGAGGTGACTCTCATGTCTCAGTGGCCTATTGGATAACACTCTGGAGTTTAGAGTGATAGATGTTGGGTTCGAGTCTCAATATAAACAGCACCACTTGGTGGGTGCAAGTACACCTGTCTGATGAGTCCTGAATAGCATGATACGCGCTTTCTGGATTCGACTGCTAGCCACCACCAAGCGAATTACAACATAATAAATATTCGGACCATATTGAAGCACCCGCGTAGTTGCCCACTTGCCAACAAAGGTCGAGCAATCCGACTCAGTGACTCACATGCTCGTCACGTAACCTGAAGGTCCGGGTTCGAGCCCTGGCATGGTCATTGGTGCGCACTACTGAGAACTCCCATACTAGGAAGAAACGGCTGTCCAATGGTTCTCCGACCGATGTTAGTCCGTGATGAATATATCAGTCTGAAATGAGTAAATAAATCCCCACAGACCTCCAAGTTGAACTAATCTGATTATCAATTATAAATAGTAACACGACGTTCTTACTCTTAACAGCACAAACATTAGTAATAATAATACCATTCTGGAACTAAAATTCAATAGTTATCTGCTGCGGTGTTATCATCTAAAAAAAGGCATATTATATTTATATACTGTCTAAAGGGGAATATTCAAGAAACCAATGAAGAGTGAATATATTCGATGCCGTTTACGCCATATTCGCATTGATACAGAAACACGATTTATCGTAGAAAAATGTGTTCTGAGGGCGAATTTTCAGTCATGCAATGTAACTGTAAAATTATTACTAGAGTATTCATCGAAAAATACTAATCAATATCACATCCCGTCTACCGACTCAACAAACCTTACAACCTACCGTTTGCAGAGTACTTTCGAAAGCTACTTTCTATGAGACAATTTCATTTTATTTCTAGGTGAAACTAAGATCACATTGGAAGATAGATTTGAAGAGGAAATATTTCTTTTCAATCGGTTTTTCATCAGTCACTCTAAGCCGATATAGAAATTTCACGACTAATATCAGAATATTATTTTGATGACGATGGATTAACTAACAATGACTATGAATTTAAGATTCATGTCTCCCATGTTTGGTGAATTCAAACTGCAAATTAATGGAAACAGTAATTAAGTAACAGTAAGATTTTTTGAAAGAAAAGCTAAATAAAATGTGACAAGTTGTACTTTAACTAGTTCCACAACAGTTGTTAGGCAAATTGGAGGATTTTAGAAACTTTTTATGGCAAATAATTACGCAACAATTTAGAGGTAAAAGGTTGATTGGATAAAAAAGAATTGAAGTTAAATCATTTTGATTATAATGAGAGGAGCTGGACACACTTCTTCAGGTTACAAATTCTGTTTGTAAGCATGTTTATAATGGCTTGTACTGTGTTAAGCAGGTGCATAGGTCAACGTTGCAGAAAATCAGATGGTAAAAATAAATAGTTGTAAATACCTTGCTCGTGCTTAGTCGATGAACAGTGTCCAGTAATTCTCATTTTCAAATGATATTTCGGTGGTGATGCTCAGAATTCCGACAATGGACTTGTCCAATTGTATTTTTCGTATAACTGGCTCTACAACCAACTGACATAACCCTAGGTGTCTCCAACTTTACGGGGATTGACCAACTGTCTTGAGCCTAACTGGTTGACTTGGAGTACATAGATGAAACAGTCATGTTAAGCGAAAACGCTGACACAATGTAGAATCTTCCGAACGCCTTCAGCAGGAGTTTGAATGTGTTTGGCCTACGTTTTGCACCTGTCGGGTGTGAGATGATGCTTCAGGACTGAGTTGCAGCTACCACTAGCTTAAGGATAGAGTGAAGTGGTAGAATGCATTAATCAATCCAATTGCCTAGGAAGTTGCAGTAGCTCAAATGGCTCGGTGGCTGGCGAAATCTTATCTCGGACACGAAACGCCAACTTACACTAAACCTGGCGCTCACGAGATATCCGACTACCTTTTAAGGATGAGTATTTTGCGCTGTAGTCCATTCTGTCCTATTGAAAGGTTGAGACAGCTGCTGAAAATAAGAGATATGAAGAGGTTACAGCTTTCCAACCCCAGTTGTTATCGTAGTATTGCTCACGTACAGTGGAATCATTGTGTGGACAGTGATGACGTTAGGCGAAAGGGACAAGGTTAGTAACGTAAGACAGTCAGTGGGGTTGCGAAGCTTCAGTAACTGAGGTGGCTTTGACATCTGTTGTGAATGCAGAACCATCGCCTAGCTCAATGTTACTTTCTTATCCGAATAAGGATTGAGCCGGAACTTAGCTAAGGATGTCCACACCCACATGTAATACCACTGGGTAAAGTGTTTAACTGTTAATCTCTACCATATATGGCGTAGAATCCTTGTTTGGAGTTAACATAGTAGGAGACAATAATTGGAGTCTTGGTGGATTTGGTGACAGTAATATTTTTCATTACTATTTGTCCCTTGGGTTCCTAGTGGAACATAAGGCTTCAGTAGCACGTTCCCATTGCACTCTGTTCTCTGCAATCTTTTTAACCTGGCTCCACGACTGCCCACAAGCTTCCATCTCCTCCTCGCACGATGTCCTCCATGTCACCCTCGCCTCGGACGCCCAACTCGTCGTTCCCCCCTTGGACTCCACTCGACGGCATGGCCTGGCGCGTGATGTCCCCAGTCGGCCTTCTCAGTGTATGCCCAATCCATCTCCACTTTCTTCTGCATATCTGTTGGGCGATAGGTTCTTGTTTGGTTCGTTGCCAGAGTTCCTTGTTGCTTATTCTTTCTGGCCATTTGATCTTCAGTATCGAGTGAGCGTAGGTGGCAGCTGTCGATGAATGTCTGTAGTTTGTTGGGAATGCCTTTCGTGACACGCCAAGTTTCTGAACCACATAGCAGCACTGACTTGACATTGGTGTTGAAAATTCGGATCTTGTTCTTTGTGCTGAGTGCAGTGGGTCCCCACACTGATTTCAGATTAATGAAGGCTTGT